ATTGTATGCAAAAGGTCATATGCCTGTCTGACAAGCTTCCGGAGACATTTTAACATTCATTCTTGGGAAAAGAAGTATCCTTGCCGTTACTGTGAGAAGATATTTCCTCTTGCAGAATATCGCACAAAGCATGAAATTCATCACACAGGGGAGCGAAGATATCAACGTTGGGTCTGTGGCAAATCTTTCATCAACTATCAATTTACGTCTTCACACATAAAGTCAGTTCATAGTCAAGTTCCTTCTGGAGACTCAAAGCTTTATCATTTACATCTATGCAGGTCTTTACAGATCAGACAATATGCATATACCTCCCTGATAGGTCAGGCATTGTGCCTATAATGAAGGATGATGGTATTGGGTATAAGGTTGATGCTGGGAAAGAACCTCCCGTAGGGACCACATCCATTCCTCAGAGAATGTAACAGATGGCAGTACTGAGTTTGAATTTATAATACCAGAATCTTATTGAACTCCTTTGAAATATCAAAGTTTTGGTTTGGATTAAGGGGCAGGGCTTTCAGAAGACCTATAAAACAAATTAAGAAATTTTATGTGACACGTCATCTGAAGGTAGTTTAGCTGGATTATTTGCTGATCATTTTTAGAAGCAAATTATTCTGAAAGTTTGTAGAGATTGAGAAGTCCCACCCCCAAGTATCTGTTTATATAGTTAGCTATCAGCTCATTTAAAAGGGGCAAAAAAAGCTTGGAGAGAGAGTTTCCAGAACAGAATTTGAAGCAGTCTGAATGTTTTTTTAAAATAACTGGAGTTATTAGCATACCCTAGTATACCTTAAACATTCCTTCTATGTTAGCACTTTACTGTCAATTCTCAATTTTCTTAATATTGAGACTATAAATGTGTGTTGTGTTTGTATATGGCATAAAAAAACTAAACAAGAACCTCTGAAGTTCTGGAAATTTTTAAAACAAGGTTGCTATGTGGTCTCTGTGGTTAAAAAAAAAAATACTAATCTCTGTAATGCAGACAGGAGGAGATGAAAAGATCTGTTGCATTATTTTTTGAATTTTTGCTCTTACATGTGAGAGGCAGAGTGAAAGTGATTGGATATTGTCTTTTTGTTCAATATGATTAAAAATAGTCCCATGAAAATTTTCAAATTTTGAATCTGTAAGCCACCAAAATAAATCTTTAATTCTGTATGAATCTTTATACATGATAGGTTCCAGAAATGAGACTCCTACAAATTTTGATCTCTGGTCAGGGCACATATAAAAATCAACCAATGAAGCCCTATCCAGTTGCTTGAAACCCAGCCCCAGTCAGGGCATGTGCAAGAGGCAACCAATTAATTTATCTCTCTCACATTGATGTTTCTGTCTCCCTCCCTTCCACCCTCTCTAGAAATCAATGGAAAAATATCCTCAGGTGAGGATTAACACACATACACACGCTCACCGAAAAACACATAAGAATCAACCAATGAACGCATAAATAAGTGGTACAATAAATCAATGTCTCTCTCTCTCTCTCTCTCTCTCTCTCAAAGAAATTTTTTAAAAAAAGAATACACTGCCCTAACTGGTTTGGCTCAGTGGACAGAGGGTCAGCCTGTGGAATGAAGGGTTCCAGGTTCAATTCCGATCAAGGGCGTGTAGCTTGGCTGTGGGCACATCCCCAGTAGGGGGTGTGCAGGAGGCAGCTGATGGATGTTTCTAACTCTCTATCCTTCTCCCTTCCTCTGTAAAAAATCAATAAAATCAATAAATATACAAAAATAAAAGAAAAAGAACACACTGAGTGTTAATTAGAATTCAAGGCCCAACTAAATATAAATACACAGTTTCTGAGGGGGCTCTGTAAGTTATTTTCATGGTGAGCCATTCTTCCTCCTCAAGGTAATTTTTACTTACTTGGTCAACTTGTGGCTTTTCATTGCTGTAAGAAATTCCCTGACAATCTCAGGACTCTGATGACTGCATGGTGTTTTTGATATGTATTTTAATGTCTACAAAAAAAAAGGAAAAAACCAATCTGAGAAATAATTTAGTATTCCACAATTCTGTTTCAAAAATCTTCTATAAAACAAATGCCTTCAGGAGAGTCCATCTTCATATAATAGGAATTCCTCAAAAAGTAAACCAGTAGCTAAAACAGAAAGAATAATGAAATTTCAGAAGAAAACTTTTCTGATCCTAAAAAGAAGAAAAAATTTAATCTGTCAATTGCATTATATTTCAGACAATTTTTTAAATACAGAAAACTCAAAGAACAAAATAAATAGCCAATAATCCATATGGATATAAATGACTGAATAAATAAATTGATGAGAAATATCAACCATTTCTTATATAAGAATTCTAACCATTAAACATAAAATGAGGTAAACAAATCACTATTAGGCAGCTCCACATTGGTAATAATTACTGCAGCAAAGACCCACCAATGAATGCTAAAATTAATAGGCAAAAGATTAAGGAGAGCCCTGGCCCATGTCGCTCAGTGGTTAGTGTGTCAGTCTGTACACCAAAGGGTCTCAGGTTCGATGCCTGGTCAAGGGTACATACCTGGGTTGCAGGTTCAATCCCTGGCCCCTGTTGGGCTTGCAAGAGGCAACCAATCAATGTGTGTCTCTCACATCAATGTTTCTCTCTCTCCCCCTCCCTGCTTCCCTTCCACTCTCTCTAAAAACCAGTGGAAAAAATATCATCAGGTGACAATTAACAACAACAACAAAAAGTACAAACATCAGGTTAGTCACACACTCCTTCTTAACAACGAATACTAATAGATCAAGTACTTTGTATAGAGACCTACAAAATAATAGTTGAACCCAAAAGCTCCATATTCAAATGAATTGTCATTCACATTAAGAACTCCCTCCTGGGAGCACACCCATCCATGCCTTTCTTCCCTCAGGCAAAACTCTAAGAGCCCCCATGAGATTTGCAACCAGTGTAGCAATGGGAAAGGGCAGCTGTCCTGAGCTACCTCCCTGACCCTGTCTCCAAGGCCTCTTTTTCTATGAATTTTCAGTGAGCCGAAGTAGCCCCACCTAGGCTTTCTCCTATTGCTTCTTCTATCCTGAGCCCTTCCTGTGTTTCACTATTCCCAGTTTTAATAAACAGACTCTCAAAATAAAATATTTTTTAAAAACACACTAGAAATATATTCTCAGGTATAAAACATCTCAAAACATTTAGTCCCACATAAAGTTTTCTTAAGGCACCACGTATTAAATGCAAGAACTTAGGGAGTGGCAATGAGCTTAAACTGCTTAAATGTGTAGTTAAAAGTACATAGTAGTTGCCCTTGCCAGTTTGGCTCAGTGGATAGAGCGTCAGCCTGCGGACCAAAGGGTCCCAGGTTCCATTCTGGTCAAGAGCATATAGCTCGGTTGCAGGCTCCTCCCAAGCCCGAGCCCTGGTCAGGGTGTGTGTAGGAGGCAACCTATCCATGTGTTTCTCTCACACTGATGTTTCTGTCTTTCCCTTTCTCTTCCACCCTCTCTCAAAATCAATGGAAAAATATCCACAGGTGAGGATTACAAAAAAAGTACTTAGTAGTTTTTTTTAGTTTATTAAAAAAATTGCCAACATATATTTTTTTCTTCTTTGAAAGGTATGAACTAGCCCTAGTTGGTTTGGCTCACTGGACAGAGTGTCAGCCTGTGGACTCAAGGGTCCCAGGTTCGATTCCGGTCCAGGGCACATGCCCCAGTTGTGGGCTCAATCCCTGGTGGGGGGGGGGGTGAGCAGGAGGCAGCCAATCAATGATTCTCATCATTGATGTTTCTAACTCCCTCTCCCTCTCCCTTCCTCTCTGAAATCAATAAAAAATATTTTTAAAAAAAAGAAAAAAAAGGTATGAACTATATAATGTAAAAGAACATGAATGAATGATAGGATTTTAAATACATGATTAAATGAACAAAAGTTAATAAGGAGGAATAGTGACAAAAGTGCTAACCTCTTTATTTTCCTTAAAAGGGATTATGATAAGCTTAATTCAAATTTCTTATCTTTGAAAAGAAAAATTAAAGATATTAAATCCTTTATAGACAAAATCAGAACTGGAAGGAAATAGCAAGATAACAAATTAAAATGACAGATTCAAACATCACCGCCCTAGCCGGTTTTGCTCAGTGGATACAGCGTTGGCCTGCGGACCAAAGGGTCCCAGGGCATGTACCTCAGTTGCATGTTCCTCCCCACCCTGGGCAGTGGTCAGCGCTTGCACAGGAGGCAACCAATCGATGCGTTTCTTCTCTCACATCGATGTTTCTCTCTGCCTTTCCCTCTCTCTTCCACTCTCTAAAAATCAATGGAAAAATATCCTCAGGTGAGAATTAAAAAAAAATATCAAACATCACCTATAACAAATACAATGGCTTCAACTTTCTTTTTTAAAGACAAAGCATAAGGCTGGGAGAGAATGTAGCAAAATGTCCACTAGATCAAGATTATGAATTATGCCGAAACCGGTTTGGCTCAGTGGACAGAGCGTTGGCCTGTGGACTGAAGGGTCCCAGCTTCGATTCCGGTCAAGGGCATGTACCTGGGTTGCGGGCACATCCCCAGTGGGAGATGTGCAGGAGGCAGCTGATCGATGTTTCTCTCTCATCGATGTTTCTGGCTCTCTGTCTCTCTCCCTTCCTCTCTGTAAAAAAAAATCAATAAAATATATTTTAAAAAAAAAGATTATGAATTACTTTTTCTGTCTTCTTTATACTTTTTGGAACATTCTAAATTTCTAGAATAGTAAGTATTACTTTGTGTATAATAAAGTATTTGACATTGCCCAAATGTGGCCTTTGACCTCAGCTTCTAGGAGGTAATCTCCAGACTCTTTGGAATGTTATAGTTTATAGAAGTATCTTTGTCTCAGGCCTTAAATCATATTGGATAGTCTCAACAATGTGACTTAGGATAGGAGCTTTGGGTCATACGGTATCACTCAGCCTGAAGGCCGAGATGAGCTACATGGGCAATTAATTATTCAATCATGTCTATGTAATAGAGCCCCAATAAAATCTTCAGAAACTGAAGCTCAGCTGAGCTTCCCTGGTTTATTGGTACAATATTCTGTGCATACTGTCACATAACCACATTAAGAGAACAACATTCTGTATTAGATAGTTCTCTTGGAATCTGCCTTACTTGCTTCTTCCCTTGACCAATTTTACTCTGCACCCTTTCCCTGTAATAAACAGTAACCTAGAATATGATAGCATTCAGTGAGTTGTGAATACTTCTAGACAATCACTGAATCTGAGGGTGGTCTTGGGATCCCTGAATTGAAATTGGTACTAAAAGTGAGTGCGGTCTTATAGACTATTCCTCTAATTTTATAGTTGGCTAGCCCTGGCAATTGGCCAAACTCTTTGCACTTTTATAAACAGAATAACAACAAGATTATAGTACAACTATTCAAATCAGGTATAGGCAAACTTGATTTGGTGGCTAGTCATTAGAAGAATAAACAAACCCTCCTCAAAGACAGTTCAGGTAGACCCTTCAGAAGCCTAGGCTTACTTCATAGGTGATAGTATTCAAGTTCTGTTGTCCAGTACTGTGTTTATTCTTTCCACTCTCTTTACGCTGTTCTTTCAGATCAGTTAGTAACTGGAACACCTAGGAAGAGATATACAAAAGATTTTTAAATTAGAGTTTGAGAAATATATCTATTCCAAGGTCATTGATTTTGAAGATAAAAAAGTACACCCCAACTCTTACATTAGAGCAAATATGAATCTAAGAAATATGTGACCTTTTAAAAATATTTTTATCTAAGTCAAATAATTCAAATTCATTAGTTTACTTAAAATATTTCAAATGTTTCCTACCAATATATACCATACTTCTGATCTCAAAAATATTTTGAGTATTTAAAAGTAAATTTTACGCCCAGCTGGTTTGGCTCAGTGGGTAGGACGTTGGCCTGCGGACTGAAGGGTCCCAGGTTCGATTCCGGTCAAGGGCATGTACCTTGATTGTGGGCACATCCCCAGTGTGGGGTGTGTGGGAGGCAGCTGATCGATGATTCTCTCTCATCGATGTTTCTAACTCTATTCCTCTCCCTTCCTCTCTGTAAAAAATCGCTCTATCCACTGAGCCAAACCGGTCAGGGATAAAATAAATAATTTAAAAAAAAAACACAGATTCTAGCCCAGTCAGCGTGGCTCAGTGGTTGAGCGTCAACCTATGAACCAGGAGGTCACGGTTCAATTCCCAGTCAGGGCACATGCCCTGGTTGCGGGCTTGATCCCCAGTATAGGACATGCAGGAGGTAGCCAATCAATGATTCTCTCTCATCATTGATGTTTCTCTCTCGCGCTCCTTCTCCCTTCCTCTCTAAAATCAATTTTTAAAAAAATAAATGGATCCTACCTCTCTAATATGAAAATCTAGTATACTTTATTTGGGGCAAGTGCCAAAATATAGTTTACAAAAAAACGGGGGGAGAGGGGGCCCTAGCTGGTGTTGCTTGGTGGTTAGAGTGTGAGCCTGCACACTGAGGGGTCTTAAGTTCAATTTCTGGTCAAGGGCACGTGCTTGGGTTAGATTTGTCGCTGTTTTTCTCTCTCCTTCCTCTGTCTTCTTCTCTCCCTGCCTTTTTCTCTCTCCCTCTCTCCCTCCCTCTAACTCTCTCCCTCTCTCCTTCAGTTTCTCTCTCTCTCTTCCTCCCTCCCTTCCTCCCATTCCACTCTTTGTAAAAATCAATGGGGAAAATATCCTCAGATGAGGATTAACCAAAAAAGGGGGGGGGCAGGGAGGGAAAAATGCTATAGGACTTAATAAGTAACTTTCCCCATAAGGGGAAAAATATGTGTACTAGTGTTAAGAAGGGTGTGGGGCGTATAACTCTCTCCTGTTTTAGAGATTATACTGAAAATTCAGGGAAGTATTACAGGTTCACAGATTCATAGACCATTACTAGATACAATGCAACTCCATGCCTGCCTGTCATTTTCAGAAATAGTGCCATGAGACCCAATTAAGGCAATCAATATTTCTCCAATGGATAAAACACCCAAACACTTACCAGTCCAAACTGGAAAAGGAAATTCCTAAAAGCCAATGGCTTAACCAACAACCATTTCTTCCTGTTATGAGCAGCAACCATTTAAGATGAATCTTTGGGAAGAGAGGAATATGGCCAACTGTCTTAATTCAACTACCTTCTATATACTAGTATATCACAAAGTGGAGACCCAAGTCTCCTACAAGTCTTTATGAGTTTAGACTCTGACATATGAAAAATAGACAATGAATGTATGTATGAAGGGCTCTTTCTACACGGGAAGTAACCTATCAGATGATTTTACTAGTGCCAAACAAGATCCAGGCAAATGGAAGGTAGGCAAAATAATGTTATATCCTCCCCCCTCACCAACCTCTTTCCTTCTTTCTTCCCTTTCCCCAACAACCCAACCCTTCAGCCCCAAAATCCCCAATCTGTTAGTTCTTACTAAAGCATTAATGATAATGGTGAGTCAACTAAGCTCTCACTTTCAAAATGAAGATTTTAATATTTATGAGACTATTGTGAGGATCAAAATAATGACATAGAAGTATTTTATAAGAGTGGTAATTAAGAAAAGCATACATATTTTAATAGAAGCTTTTGCTGATAGAGTTCCAAAATAGATGCTTCCACTCTTCATGAAGCCTTCCATATAAAGATCTAAAATTTTCAGATTTGGGGAAGATTGCCTATGTACACTAAAGTCTTCTCAGTTTTCCTGAATTAATGTAATTTACCAAGCTTGGGATATTACAAGATCCACCAGATAGTGCCATCTGTCATATTTTAAAGTGGAAAATCCAAATTAATTCAGTCATTTCTAACTACAGTTAATTCAATAATCTTCAAAAGCAAAGAACAAAACTATCAAAGAGGAAAATACTTCAAAGCTATTTACCTCATAGTTACTGAGCAGCGCAGAATTGGCATCCTTCCTGCAAAAGAAAAGTTAATTATCATAGTCTGGGTTCAAATCATTTTGTGTGAATTAAATATCTATGTAATAATTCCTCTGTCAAAATTCAGTACTCCAGCCCTGGTGGGTATGACTCAGTGATTAGAGCATTGGCCCAAGGACCAAAGGGTTGCAGGTTCAATTCCCGGTCAAGGGTATGTATCTCAGTTGCAGGTTGGATCCCCAACCTCAGTTGGGTGCAGGAGGCAACCAGTAGATGTATCTCTCTCACACTTATGTTTCTCTCTCTCTCTCCCCCCCCCTCCCCATTCTCTCCTCCCTTTCACTCTTAAAAAAAAAAAAAGATCAATGGAAAAAAATATCCTAGGGTAAGGATTTTAAAAATTAATTATTTTTTTAAAAATTCAGTAGTCCAGTTCAGGAATTTAGGGGCTATGACTTTTTGGAGAAATGCCCTGGTTTAGCTGATAATGGACAATTTTAGAGCATACCTTCCTTTTTACAGCCACTGTATACCACACATCCATCACCAGGTAGGGGATTAAAATACTCTTATCCCTAGTCTATGTAGGCAAAAGTTAAGAGAAATCAAACATCAGGGGGGGAAGTTAGTTACAGGAAGAACAGCGGGGGTAGGATCAATAAACAGTGTGAGGGTGCTAAAATCATCTGGAGAAACGGTGCTTCTCACCCCACAGCCACGGCCTCTTTCCAGTACCATCTGCCTTCCATCAGCTATTGACATCTTGGGCAGCCCAAGTCCTCCTGCTGAGTCGCCAGAAATGGGGTCCTTAACACTAGCATCACCACTGGGAATTCCAGCAATGTCAGAGATCTTGACAGATATTGACAAAACTACAACAAAGATGTTCATCTCTTGCAGTTCATGTGTCAAGCAGAGGTCAAAAGCCTGGCACTCTTGTGTAACAGTCAAGGCAAAAATTCATCTTTCATTTATGAATGAGCACAGCAATGTGACTTGCATTAAATTGATCCATTCTATGATACAATAGAAAGTATTTATTGTTTTTGATAATCTAAAGAGTCTAGTATAATAATTATAAACACAGTTTTTAAATCAGACAAATCTGGGTTATATTATGCCCTAGCTACTTACAAGGTATATGAGTTTTACTGAGTTAATCAACCCCTAAGCTTCCTCATCTAAAACAAATAGACCCCCCTCCCCAAAAAATGGGGATAAACTGGTACCTAAAAGTACAGCTCCACTGTACATTTACTATGTACATTACAAACTTAGGCACATTATTGAACCTCTGTGCTTAAATTTTCATCTACAAAATAGCAATTATAGTATCAACCCCATAAGACTGTTTAACAGGACTAAATAGAAATATGTAAAGTACCTGGAACAGAGGTACCTCATGCCATCTATTATCACCACTACCTGTGCTAATACCACCACCACCACCACTTCATCCTACCCCATAAACCTATGATAAGAATGCAAAGAGACAACAAA